AACGCACTAGTATAAGCGTTTTTCAAAGCATTTCATAGACAACTTCGAAATAAAGCAATCGAGCTTTGATTCTTGCTTCTTTATATCAATTAATAAAGATCAATTAAGAATAGCTGCTTTATAAACGAATGATATTCTTATAGTTATTAATCTAGCTATAAAAGCAAAAGAAGAGAAGGAGCTGGTCAAATCCAAGCTAAGGAGCAAAGAAATAAAGATCTTTATATACGCCGAGCTAATGATTTTTAATAAATACAAGCTATCCTTAGATAAAGACGGGTTCGGACTGTTAATTAAGCAAAAAAGGCAAAGTGAGAGGCTTGCAGTAATCAAGCTCGATTCAGCTATACGGGCTAAAGAGTACTTAAAGCAACGTGCTCGAAAGGCGTATTTAGCTATTATTTGCTATTTAAAAGCATCTTGCGCTTTATAGATGGCTGCCTAGCACTAAGAACTAAAGGATGAAGACTATAAGGCCTTTAATAAAGTGATCTAATAGCTAATCGATCACCCAACTCGAAGGATCTATTACGTGCCTTTAGACTTAAAGACGGCGAAGCTCTTTATGTTCGTAAACAAAGCGTTTGCTAATAACGCTGACCTTAACTCTTAGATCGGTTTCGTAGCTATCCTTAATAATAAGGCTTACGTAAGTAAAAACGAGTTCACTCTAACGGATAACATCTTTTATTAAGTGTCACAAAAGTGCAAGAAAGTGACAAAGGCAGTGTTAGCCTTTAAGCTATACGCTATATTCTTAAGTATCGATATAGCTATTGCTATATCGATTACTTTTACTTAAATCATAGCTCAGCTAAAGATCTTTAATTTCCTCGTAGTTGTGTGCATTGACTTTTACTCGCTTTACGAATGTATAATAAAGCTAAGGACTATTAAAGAGAAGCGCTTTATGATCGATATTATAGCTATTCGAGAGTCATACGAGAGGCGAGAGCTCTCTAAAGTACGCTAGATCGGAGGAAAGTCCAACCTTGCTGACGCTATGACCAAAATCGAGGCCAATACCTTTTTGCAAGAGCTAGTTTTGACCAATACCTTAAAGGTGCAAGTAGACGGGTAAGTGGAAAGGCCGCTGTAAAAGATAAGAGAGTAAGGTTTGGTAGAGTAATTGTCTTTCCTTTATTTGATTACCTTCCTTCTTTTTCGGTCGATATAATAATTAGCAAGGCACTGCTTGCTAAAGAGAGAGTTGCCGGTGTCGGTATATCCATATCGACCTTAGCTAGCTAGTAGTAGTAATAGTAGTAGTAGTTAAGGAAGCTCACCCGTGAACCATGATTCACGGGCCACTTAGCATGCCTCGCTTAGCATGCCATCAGTCAAAGGACCCCCTTCCAACTTGACAAGTAAACCTATTAGTTAGCTAGTGCACGTGATTCCTTCTAATCATATAAAAGGAATCAGCTCCCCTGAGTCTTAGGGAGCAGACAGAATTCAGATACCTTATCAATCGAGTGTTTTGCAATTGCAAGTACTTTGACGACCGTTACGACCTTACGAATATATTCCCAATCGCTTAAAAGCAATCCAACAAAGTTTGCTACTTTTATTGACCTTAAAAAACACTTGCTATCTAAAAGCGTATGGTGCCCTTTAAAGCAAAAGGGTTACGCTAATAGAATAGTCAAGCTCTTAAACGACGAGCAGCAGCACTAATAGACCTTTAAAAAGATAAAAGAGCAATAAGCAACACCTTTAAGTCTCGATTTAAAGTGGACCGCCGAAAACCTTACGGACGACGAGGATATTACACCTTAACTACCTTTACCTTCACTTCCGCGAAGCTTAAAAGAAAAGGAAAAGGAGACTTTAAGTAAGAAAGAAGAAAGAAAAGAGATTCGGAGGTTACGCGAAGAGTTTGCGAAAGAGAAGAGAGATATAAAACGAAATATAGAAACTATAGCAAAGCAAATAGCGGAATTACGAACTTACGCTATACAATCTAACGAAGGGCTACGACGAAGCATTTTAGCGTACTCGACGCTTTCAATTCATTAATCGCTACGCAATACGCCGATTATATAAGAGCCAAAATCACTTTAGCGGCTTTTAAACCTTTTTCTTAAAAGCTATAACCGGGTTTCTTAAAAGCCAAGACCGAGTAGCAACAACAACGGCTTCGAAAACATAATCGGGCTTGATAATACTCGAAGCTACGAAAGCTATACGTTAAAGGAGGACTCGTTAAAACTTAAAAGCATTTTAAATAAAATCAGCTCTTATTAAAGATAGCGTGCAGATTTCCGTGCTTAACCTTAGCAATCCGAAGAAAGGATCTAGCACCTTCGGACGTACCGATAAGCTATTTATATCTCTTAAGAGGCTACGTATTAATAAAAGAGAAACTAAAGGTATAAGAATCGCTAAAAGCGCGCTTAAAAGTACGGATATTATTAAGCTAAAGCCTTAGCCGGTGACTCGAATAGCTTTAGCGATTCTAACGATAACCGGCGAAAAGGAAACGAAAAAGATTAGCAAAGAGATCGAGACTACGAGTACGGAGGAAGTAGAAATAAGCCCCTTAAACTATTAAGAGGATTCGGAAACGGACCTTTAAAGGACCTCGGATCCGGAAATAAGCTTTTTAAGGACCTTAGAAAAGTAAGACCTATAACCGGCAATTATATTAATAACCCTTTACCGATCTAATTATTAGCTAAGCATAATACGCTTGCGTACGGCACTCTAAGCGCTTTTAACGATAATAAAGATGATTTCTTTAAGTTAAGAGCAGCAGATCTTTACTTAAGAGCGAAAGAATTAGCTTTGTTTGCAAAAAGCTTTCTTAAAGAACTAAAGTATTCGAGACTCGACGATGATTTTAAGACTTAATTAAGTATTTTCGCTAATTAAGCAAGTCGGTACGGCTTAACCTTCAACGACTATTTAGCGGCGTTCTTTATTATGCTTACGAGAAAAGCTATTACATTTTATTATAATCACGTTATTAAAGCTAAGCTTCTTACGTTTAAAGCGAACGCTATTGCTATAAAAGACCACTTCGAAACTAACTATTAGCGGCAAGCAAAATACGACCGCTAAAAGGAAATTTCGCTAGATTTGGTTAAGAAAGAGAATCTAAGGACTTCGCTTAGCGAGTGCTTTAAGAAGCTCGTTAAAGAGCTTAAAAGCATTTAAAGCTTTTTACGACTAAGTTTAAAAGATGATCGAAGTCTTGCTAACAAGCTATATTCAACTTATAAAAACGTATTAGAAACTACGATTGCACGTATAAACCTTGCGTTTACTTTTACCGCCGCAATTGCCGATATCCGCCGAGCAATTGCATTCGCAACTAAAACCTCTCGACCCGCTAAAGCGAGTAAAGCTTACGCGAGCTTTAGCGAGCTACACGATTACACTTGCTCTTAGCATAATACTTTAAAAGCTGACTTCGATTTAAACGAAGAATACGAATGCTTTATTTAAGACCGCTAATACTTCGGAAGTAAGAAAGCTGCTAAAGCTATTAAAAGTGAGAAAAAGTGTTTTGTTTGCAAAAAGCCAGGTTGCTAAAGCACTAACTATACTTTCGACGAGCGCAAGGCTTCCGTCGCTAAGTTCTAAAGCTTTAAAGACGCAAAAAGAGTAACGAAGAGCAAATTCTCTTAATACGTAGCGTCGATCGAAGGTTTGCTATTTGTATTTACGGAAGAATTCGATTAGTTTATCGCAAGCTTATTAAACGAGCCGCTCGAATCGAGCAGCTACGTTAATATGTCCGAAGGTTTTGTAATTACTTACGGCACTTTCGATGCTAACGAAGTATATAAACAATTAAAGATTCAAACGGCATTCTACGCCCTTATTAGCTAAATCGAGACTTAAAACGTGCCCGCGAGTAAAGCAAAGACTTATATAGCTTTTAAATACTTTAAAAACGTGTTTATAGGTTTTATAATTAATAGCGGAGCAGCTAATTTCTTTACCGCTAGCTTGCTTTAGCTACGAGCATTTTAAAAGAGGTACCTCGAGGTCTAATTAAATACATTTCGAACAAAGGAGAAGTCCGTTAAATACGGTATCGGCTTTGCTACCTTTATTAAAGCAGTTACTTTAAACACTCCTTTAGGTTAAGTGGAGTTTTACGTTATAGAAAGCGACGTACCTTTTTTGTTCTTATTAATTGATATAGATAAGCATAAGGTTATTGTTGGATCGCCGGTAGCGATCTCTCGTAATCTTCGTAAAATTCGTGACGTCGTCAAAGTATTTGCAATTGCAAAACACTCGGTGGTAAAATACTCAATTGTTGCTTGTTGTTCTAGTTTTAAGAGAGCTGACTCCTTTTATATAATAAGAAGGAGTCACGTATACTAGCTAAATACTAGGTTTACAAGCAGGTTAAGGGGCCCCTTGACCTGTAACAGGCTAAGCGAGGCATGCCTAGTGGCCCGTGAACCTTGGTTCACGAGTAAGCTCCCCCCAACTACTATTTACTAGCTAAGGTCGATATAAATAAACCGACACCGGCAAAACTTTCTTTAGCAAACAGTGCTTTGCCAACTATTATATCGACCGAAAAAGAAAGGTATTGAATAGAAACATAAGATACAAAGGAGAAGGAATAAAGAAAAAAAATTTAAACGCAAGGAACAAAGAAAAAAAAACTTTTCCT